CCGCCGGTCCCGCCGCCGCCACCACCGCTGGCTTTCTTGGCTTTACGGAGCTGGGCCTGGCGCGCCCGGGCTTCCTCGTCACCTCCCCGGCCTTTGTGCTTCTCCGATTTCTTCTTTTTCTTTTTTTCCCGCTTCTTTTTGGGTTTGGAAACGGGGCCCTGTGAGAGGGCAGCCAGCTGCTCGTGCACGGCCCGCGCAGCTGTGGGGAGACAGGGGGGTGAGGCGGGCGTGGGAAGCGGGCCCGGGAGGTGGCACGGACCCTTCTCTGGCCCTCACCTGCTCCTGCAGCTCGGCCAGGCGGTTGGCGCGTTCCTCCTCCGAGTCGGAGCTTTCCTCGCTCTCCGATGAGCTCTCGCTGCTGCTCTCGTCCTCGTCATCGTCTTCATCGTCCTCGTCATCCTCATCCTCGTCGCTGGAGGATTCCTCGGAGGAGGATTTGGAGAGGGCACCAGCAAGCGGGGCCGACACCGAGGGCGGGCTGGCGTCCTGCGGCTCATCCGGCATCTTGGCGTAGCTGAACTCAAAGACGTCCTGTGAGGGGAGTGGGGTCAGCGCGGCCGGGGGGCCGGCAGGGAGGGGGACGGGACAGGCACCCACCACCCTGCTCACCTGCAGCTTGCGGGCCATGGCCACCACGTCGTGGTCGGGTGGGTTGTACTTGTAGCAGTTGGAGAACATTAACCGGACGTCGGCGGCAAATTCTTGCGCATCATGGTAATCCCGGTTCTCCATCTTCCGCTGTGGGGAGAGGGAATGGTGGTGAGCAGGAGCTCCCAGACCCCCGTGGGGGACAGGAAAGGTGCAGAGCCCAGCCCCCTCCCCAAAAGGCTCCTCCACCCCCTTCCCCAGCCCCACCTTGATGGTGCTGAGGTCCATGGGGTGCTTGATGATCTCGTGGTAGTCGTGCAGCCCCAGGGCCGAGGCGTCGACAGGCTTGTAGAAGGGCCAGGCATAGGCCGCGTGCTTCTTGGAGAGCAGCTCCTTCAGGATCCCGTTGCAGTACTTGAGCTGCTCCGACAGTTTGCCCTTCTTGGACGTCTGGTGCTGCTGCGAATCCGGTAAGTCCTTCTTGGGGGGCTTGATGGGGCGGCCGCTCTCCCGCCGCGCGGGGACCTTGGCCGCCTTGGCCTCCAGCAGCGTGGCGGAGGGCGAGGACTCCCCGCTGGTGGCGATGATGGCCGTGGTGGTGGGGGTGGTGGTGTCCGCTTTCCGCTTCACGCAGTTATTCTGCCAAAAGAAAAAGGGAGAAGAAC